TCAAACCTGAACACAGAAAGAATTTTGTTATACAGAACATTAAAATTATATTAAAAATGTAACAATAATAAACAGGAATGCTTTATCAGAGCTTAATCCTTCTGGGTCTGATCTGATTTCAACCTCTTATTTCAGTTTTCTGACTTATTTTGGCTATATGGTTATAGCCATACCAATTTATTTGAGTGTGTATAATTGTGTATGTGTCTGTGTGTGTCTTTGAGTGTGCGTGTGTGTGAGTGGATGTGTCTGTTTTGCACTCTTGATGTTTTAGAGTGTAACCCCTTCCTTGCTGTCCACTTCTTTACTAAATTGTAGTTGAATTATTGATTTTATTTTACATGGTTATGGGTGTAACAATAATAAACAGGAATGCTTTATCAGAGCTTAATCCTTCTGGGTCTGATCTGATTTCAACCTCTTATTTCAGTTTTCTGACTTATTTTGGCTATATGGTTATAGCCATACCAATTTATTTGAGTGTGTATAATTGTGTATGTGTGTGTGTGTGTCTTTGAGTGTGCGTGTGTGTGAGTGGATGTGTCTGTTTTGCACTCTTGATGTTTTAGAGTGTAACCCCTTCCTTGCTGTCCACTTCTTTACTAAATTGTAGTTGAATTATTGATTTTATTTTACATAGTTGCTGTGTTACAGGCACACCAGTTCATAGGGGTGTGTGAGTGGGTGGGTGTGTTGATTTTGCTCTCTAGATGTTTTAGAGTATCACCCCTTCATTGCTGTGCTTTTTTTTCTGCATCGTGGGGGATTTGTAGATAGTACAGACATTTTCTATATTTTCAATTTTTTTGCCATTTCCCATTCATTTCCTATGGTCGGTCATTTTTGACCGAAGACCATGAGTGTGACTATTTTTTTTTTACAAGTACTTAGCTTTTTCGAATCATGCCCTCAATTTTTTTTGTGTGTGTTCACATACCAGTTGCCATAAAGTCACCAAGTTTCGTACCAATTTGGAATCAATGAAGCTACGATTTTGTAAATTTCAAAATGTAAAATTTTTTGGACAAAAGTGACCGAAGACTGCACAAGGTTAAAAATGAGCTAATCAGCACCACTACTGGTGAACTTTACAGTTTTAATGAACAGTTTAACTGCAAAAGCACAGTTAATTACTTAATTGTGTTTAATGATAATGTCTCTCTCAGTCGACACCGATTGTTGGTTTTCTGTGAAAGATTAGTTTCAGTAGGAGGCTTCAATTAATGGATCAGCCCAGTTTTTCTGTCGTATAAATATTAACTCTGCTCTACCTCCTTTGCTGAACCTCATGTATTTTTAAAACTTATTTTGATGGTTGGCACTTTAATATTCTTGCCCTGTGATTATTGATATGTATTTATTCATATGACTGTTCCGGCTTTTCCTATGCAGTAGCTCAGAGTTTCCTATGTAGTAGCTTAGAGTTTGGTATATGTATATATTTCATACATATGCCAAGGTTTCTATCAATCGTTTTCCCATGTGTTGCATTTTACTAGCATTGTCTGACAGCGGTAAAGAACACAGTCTACAAAATCAATGATCATGACTGCTTAAACTAGTATTAACTCTCTTCATTCTGACGTCCTCATCTGCCTGCATGGCTGCGCTCGGCGAGGCCAAAGGGAACCAAACAATCTTTTTCCTCCTCTCACAGTTTCGTTCCATTATAGATTTGACATGACCTTATTCATTCTCAGCTCCAGTTGCTTTTTAAAGTGTTAATTACTTGATTTGTAGGCACACATTGTGCTGTTTACCCAAGCCGGGCTGGAAATTGAGATCAATGCACTAGGGTTTTGGGCAGAATTGCAATGGTCCCGACCGTCCTCAACTGAATTTAAGTAGCCCGTAAGGTTTTTAACCCCCACCCCCTCATTTTTTTTCCTCCTTTGTTTTTTTTTTTTGCATTACGTCCTGCCGGTTTGGAACGATTCCAAATGGAGACAAGCGGCAAGTCAGAGAAATATGGTTCTCTCTGCCATATGAAGGGCGTCGGCACAGCATAAAGAAGATTTTTTTTCCCCTGTAAGGCGGTTAATAGGTTTAGCATACCGTGCTAACACTACACCTCCACCTAACCAATCAGGCCTCACTCTTCCCCACTGAAAAACAGCCCCTTGCTGACTAACATATCATAAACAGCAAAGAGGGAAAAGGTCCATCCGTTAAACTCCAGGAGCAGATAATAGGGAAATGTGGTGTAATGGCTATGAACAGCATTTGGATTGTTCTTGTATTTGCCACTTTTGAGGGTTTTATTTCGCTATTGTGGTGTCTAAGAGTATGTTTACACAACAACGATGTACTAAAAATGGAAACATTTTACCTTTGTGTTTATCACATACAGACAACAACGTTGCCAAGCGATCCCTGTTCACATGGATCCGTGAAAACAACTTAAAACACCGTATTATGCATGCCAGGCCAGTAGTTGATGTCACTTTGTAAAGAAACTCTACACGAATGCGTAATGTGCACTCGTTTGACGTCACTGTTTTCACAAAAATACCCGTTTTGTTTACACTGAGACAATAATGGAATCGTTTTCACAAACTTGCACTTTGAAACCCGTTTTCAAAAGTTTGCATTTTCAGGCCTCCAAAACACCATTGTCATGTAAATGAAGTCAAAATACATAAAAAGCTTTCCATTTTGTCGTGTAAATGGCCCCTAAGGGATTATGTGACTGTTATGCTCTGTACCTGTTAATTTAC